CCTTGGCCCGTTTTGGAGTCAGTTCCCACACATTGTAAGTGCAACTCCTGTCCATACATTCAGGCAACAAGAGTCCTCACTTGTTCTTTTCTCAGGCATCATGAAAATCATACACAGAAATACATTCAGTACAGCATTTAATAAAGATAAATCAAGAAATAAAAAGCAGCGGCATCTTAAAAAAGCAATACATAGTTTTGACAAATCGAGACTGCTGAAGGATTGGAAAACACCACATAATAAAATAAAGAAATTATAATGTGCAAGCAGACAGAACTCCTGCTATATGGAATAAAACATTGATGATGGGGGGCTCCTGGACTAGTTCATAACAAACTGTGAAACCATGTAGTCTGTATGTCTCGAACATGTTTTTAGACACAGAGATGACCAAGTAACAGGCTAAAAAGAACAGATAGGAAGAGTTTTAATTTAGTCTCTCTGTGATTTTTTAAAACGTTTTTAATGTTATGTCATGGTCTGTTGAGATTTTTCACTGAAAAAACCTCTTAGGAGATAGCTCAGTTTCAAAATATTCATCATCAGTTCATTTGTTATGATGTTCCATCTTAAGAGATGCTTGTTAACCCTGAAAGGACTCAGAACATTGCTGATCTCTAATTGAGCAGGGCAGCTTTTAGAGTCAAAAAAGCTGTGGTGAAATTTCATACTCTGTCCAAATTCAGCACAAGGATCCTTCAGAAGGCAGTCAAGTTTTTTCTCTTTTGAGATAACATACAAGGAAGGCGTAATGTACAATATTACTTGCATACACACATATATTACATAAATACCATAATTATCAGTGATTTATTTTCAGTAGATAAATTTGTTTAGAAAGCAATGCATGCAAAAATACTTGGGCAAACTTCCCTATCAGAATATCTATCATCATGTAGAGAGCCACAACTGGCCATACAACACATCTAGAAATTCTTCTGCCTCCTCAAAATAAGGCACAGGAAACCCTCCATGGTGTTCTTCTGGTGCAGCACAACCGAACTGAGTGAACAGAGCTGGTCAGAGGCATCAGTTGTCTCCTTTCCCCAACATTGTCTTCAACCAGTTCTCAAGAAAACTAAACTCCCCATGAAATGCCTCTATGGTCCACACCAACCCAAGCAATTATTTCCGATAGGAAAGAACAAGTGAACCTAAACTGTTTATATAGGTATCCTAAATGAAGATCATTTCAGAGGCTTATGAAAGGCTTCAGGTGCACCATTTGGTAAGGAAGTTACACGTCCCTTAATTTCTCGATCAGCTGTTAACCAGAGGCAACCAGAGATATGCTTCGAGCCCTACCAACACCATCTGGCAGACTATGATCTGCAACAACCTAGGAAGCCATGGTGCATGCACAGCACTGCATGACCAGCCCTGGCTGTAACCAGACTCAAATTGTTTCAGACTCAACTGTCTTTTGAGACTGTGGGGTTTCTTCCCCTCCAGTAAAAAGAGAAAAAGCAGGGACAGATAAGCTCGGTATGATAACACAGATACAATAGCCAGAGTACATGCACAGTATCTATCTGCTCTGAAAACCCTACTTAAATTACAATTTGCTTACTTTTTTTTTATTTCAGGGTAAAGCATATTTGATGGAAAAGTCAAAATTTATTTGTGAATGAGATCTAGCACCGAGGTTAAAATGTACTTTACATTAAAAAAAACCAAACTGGAAATTGAACCCTCATACCTGGTATGGAAGTGGATGGCTCAACACCACTCTCTTGTGGGCAGAGATCTGTAGCCCATGGCCACACTGAGCATGCAGATGGGCAGACAGCTCCAATAAAAACAAATGCCTTTTCAGTCTAACTCCTGCTCTGCCACAGTCAGTCATACCCACGGACCTTTTCTGCCAGGGAATACAATGCAAGACGGGTATATTAATAAATTTAACACAAAATTCTCTGAGCTTTTCCTCTTCCTCCTTTATGTCAAGTATCTGTTTAGCAGCTGTCACAGTGAGACAAATAATTCTTTTTCACCTCACTCATTTGTCTCAATTGTCTTTTTTCTTCTGTCTTTAAGCTTTCTTTATTGTTTGCTGCGTATTCTCCCTTTCACTTCCCTCTACATATAGGATTTTTTCCATCCAGCTGTCATACTCTGCCTCACTGCAGTCAGACTTACTGAGGACCAGTATATAATATTCACCAGTGAGCCCTCATTTTGCCTGGAAATACTCTTAATGAGAATCCCACATGTCCAGTTTTCTCACCCTCTTGATGGATAATGCACAACTTCACCGCAGCAGTGTAGGCTGCAATTAAAGAGCCGAAGTCTAAAATGAAACTGTGTGTTTCATGTGAGATACACCAGTATTTGCACAGTACAGCAGACAACCACGTGATGCTCCAACCACGGTGCTACATCAATGCTTCTCAAGCACAGGTTGATGGAAGCTATCATGTTTACTGCTGTCTAAAGGCCATGCGTGGATCAGGCAATTTGAGGAATATCTGGCCTTAACTAATTACATTGGGGTTTCGTCCAAAAGACTACTGAAATGAGAAAGTGTCTCCTCACTGACACAGCTGCTGAGATGCATCCCGTATTTTTGTATCCAGCACACAAGCTACAAGTGCAGCACTGAAACACAAATGGAAACCAAAGCGAAGACCGAGCCAGGATATCAGGACCTCTGGCATAATACCGATATCAAATGGATTCATGTCCTTCTGTTGTTGAGCCAGAAATGGCACAGCCATATACTTCAGTAAAAGGTTATCTTATTTTCAAACACTAGTGCTCAAGTCTGTCTTCACAAGTGAAATAGAGGTGGGGACAGGATGTAATTATTCTGGGTCCAAATGAAGTCATCTAATGAGTCATGACAATAATTTCTAGGTTGCAGTTTTCAGCACAGCAACTACTTAGCTTCCCCTCATCCCCATGCTTTACCACAATGGTACAGCACCTCTTTCTGTTGAGAAAACTACTAATCTATCAAAGGGTTTCCAAAAGTTATGCTATCTGCCACGGTGGGAATGGCTACAGACTTTTTTGCTAGTACTGATGTCTCTGAGGCAAACTTAGGCCAGCTGGTGACACTCAGGAAACAACCTGGGATCTTTTCTCAGTCAAAGCATTTTGTGATCAAGCATAAAACCAGAAATTTTGATTTAATGAACCATTTTCCAAATATTAACAACTTTGATAAACAATGTAAACAATGTTCAACATCCTCAAAGCCAAAACGTCACCTTCTAAGTCCCAAGAAAGCTGTTTAAACACAGAAACAGGCAAAGTTTAGAAATCCCATACATGTTTTCCAACAATAACCTTCAAACCCCTACAAATTTCAGCTCCAAGTTCCTACACAGTTCTTCACAGTCTGAGAATTAAAAATTTCAAGGCAATGTTAATAGCCATTATCGTAAAATCTTATGAGAAAAAGAACTGAATACTTCACTAATGTAAGACGAGCATTGGTGTGTTTGTTCTAATTTCTAGGGAGCCACCTGAATATCTTTATTCTATTAGCTGAGGATCCATCCATTCCTGGAATATTTAAGTAATAAAGCTAATCTCAGAGTACAGAGTACTATAATACAAAGTACTCATGGCACACAATGAAGTTTTGAGCAGATAAAACCAATCATCTTTTAGTAATGCATAACAAAACTAAAACCAAACAGTAAGTTCTGAAATATCCCTGCTGCTTTCAGATGTGACTGGCAGACAGACCAGCACAATTTCAACTCCAATAAGCATGAATTAGTTTCTAGGCAAAGAAGCAGAGATAAAAGGGGAAGGGATTTAAAGAATTTTTCATGGGGTTTTGTCAAAGTTTTATTTTCTGCTTGGTTTACAGAGAGAGGGCTCAGCTGTGATTTCAGCCTCTCATTATTTTTTTAAATTTATTTTATTGACAATAAATTTCCCAGTTGACCACGTAAACATGGTAAATGTTTGTACATTTCTCACTCTATCTTACCTAATCACTTTCACAATGTCTATCACCCTTTGGGATGAACAGAGTAGAAGCTAGTAGAACTGTAATTAAAAAAAAAAAACAACATTAAAACATTATCTAAAACGTCTGAATTCTCAGCATTTGCATTACAGTTCTTACCATTCATACACTTTATTTCATTTTTTGACTCCTTTTCCAATCATGTCAGCACAATATGCAAAGCTTCCTCATTAGTAAGATATGATATTGGCAGAATGGGAAAGTGGAGGCCTGATGTGCTGACTTTACCACATGTGCAACTGGAAGCGCTTCTGTTCTTACATTGGTGTGTCTGCTCCACTATTTCTGATCTGAGAACCTCCCAGAAAGTGTTCTAGTTCAGTAGTTGCATTTTATGGAATAATTAAATGAGAAGAAAAAAAGAAAGATTAAACTCATTAATACTGAATCATTACAAAACCAAAAGCCACAAAGCATCTGTTGCAGGCAGGCACCACTTGTAGAGGTTTTCACACTTACACCAGCTCGCTCTATACCATTGCTATCAAACAGACTGCGCAGCCATGGCAACAGCTTCAAAATAGCTAAGAGTTAGCCAAGGCTCTCCAACCAATCTTGCTTCTACATTTTTAATTTAGGGCTTTGCTCTTCACTCCTCTACCTCCTTCCTTTTTACAGGCTTACACGCACCACATACAGTATATTGAAACAACACTGAAAAGTTTAGCAAGGACTGGCATCCTCTGTGTTTCACTTTCCCCCAGGCCCCCAGTGTGTCTGCCCTGGCTGATCCCTTAGTTCAGCTCTTCAGCCAATGCGGCAGAAACAATTGTACCCGCTTCCTTTGGCTCCCTTCCCCATAAAAGACTAAATATGTCCCTCCCACACAATGGCTGAGCTCCACTGGCCCAGAGCCTGTGAACACTGAATGGTCTTTCCAATTCAATTAATTCAGCAGAATTACACTAGCCCGTTACCCCTCAGCTCATCCCATGGAAGCCTAGGAGATTGTTTCCTCTGGTTTTACCAAGACCATAGAGTATCATCTTCCTTCATTGAAGATTACAGCAAAACACATTTGCTGAGACAGTCCGTATCAGGCACAAAAATACATCACAGGAAAAGCAGCAAGATTTTGCAAGGCTCAAGGATTTCCAGTTCATCAGTGGCTAACCAAGAAGGAGCACCTTTTCTGCTGCTATGGTACTGTTTCTTCCTTACTTTTAATTAAAACCTTAGAATGCCTTGTATCTAACCCTCTGCAATTTTTTTTTCATTTACTGTGAAATAGCTGAAGCTTTCATAGAGTATTGTTTGTTTTAAGGATCAATCATTTCAGACATTTATGGCTAGAACAGAAAGAAATGTTCTTTATAAAAAGAAAACACTGTGTAGTTATTGTATTGAGGAAGATGACCTTTATCTTACCGCTGCGACCATTATTTTACCTGTGATCATGCGAAACAATAAAGCATTATGCGATGGCCAGCAACAGTCAAGCAAAAGACATGCTTCTTGGAGCAGCATGCAGCCGTCCAGCTGAAAGCCATAGTGCAACCTGATTTCCCAACACTTGTCACTATCTCATGTAATATCCATTTAGGAACTTTAATCCAATAGACAAGGCCACAAAATGCAGATTGACCCTTCTCTTTCCCTTAACAGAGAGGAGAGAGACAAACTGTGGCTGGTCTTGGAGGAACCTTTCACAAAGTTGTTGGCAGAACTGGTAAAAATCTGTAGCAAACAGTCCACCCATGAAGGAAGTGCAGATTCTGGGAGACAACAAAACCCATCAATTGATATCAAATGCAGAAAAAAATTCTGGCTACTGAAGAGGTCTCATTTTGATCCTTCTCAAATTAAATCAAAGCAGTTCTTTTTGGCTTGAACTGGACTTAAACTACAAAGGGCTCTGAAAAAAACCCCAACCCTAAAAACACAGATCTCAACAACTAGAAAAAAAAATTGAATGGTAGCAGGGAAGCATAATAGATCAAACAACTACATTAAGTTAATGTGAATGGTTTATTTAAAAAACTGTTTTAACATCTTCTGAAATACTGTTGTTTGGTTGGGCTTTTTTTTTTTTTGCATTCAGCCATGAAGGATTTATGGGCAATGCCTTTTGCAGCTGTAAAACTAGTAGCATCAGAGGGAGCAATTCTCATTAGCAGTTATTTACTGGTACAAAATGAGTGAAATGGTTTTGTGCTTTGGTATTCGTTTTCTTATTACAATCTCTTCTTTTACTCAGATCAGATCTCTACCTTTTATTTTTATATATGTAGACACATGAACCAGCTTAAACACATATATAACATGTATACACACACACTCTCACAAGGGCTTTTGAAACAGACCTAGACTTGAGAAATGTGCTGTTCCAGTTAAAATTTAAGAGTATCATGTGTCATCTTGGTTACAGAAAGAACAGACGTTGCATGGAAAATTCTCCATTTCCATACTCATGAATTTCCCCTTGTAAACAAATACTTGTACACAAAACTTCATCCACTCAGAGTATTAGTGCTGTGATCATCATCTGGCTATCAGGACTACATCTTTACAACACTTATGAGTGAGGATGTGGGCTTCAGCATTTCTTGCTAACAAGCTTGATATAACACCAAGCAGAGATCTTTTACAATAATTACAAGACATCCGATGTTAGTGCAGTCCAAAAAAGTTTCAATTGGATCATTTAAAAAAATCACATTGCATGGTTTCTCAATGATACTTAGGGGATATATGAATGAAAGCTCGATTCTGAAACTTCTCTATCATTTTAATAATTATGAAAATCATAGTGTCTTAAAATATTTCACCTTACTCAAGTTTTTACAAAAGTTTATTACCCAAGTCTCATCCTCACAAAATGCACATTCACGCCCATTCTACACAATCAGAAACTGAGTTCCAGAGTTGACCCATTGTCTTCCAGATCTCTTTGCTAAATGCCAAACAGCCACACTCATTAGCGATGGCAGCAGCTGATGGATTAAGCAGCTTCAGCTTCTAGAGTTAGGTCTAATGACAAAAGCCTATGTATATGAAGTTTTCGGCCAATGCTAGAGCTAAAAGGAGGTCAGTCTTTTGTTTCTTTTGTTAAACATGAAGCATTTCTCACCTTCAGCCACAGATTTTGCAAGTTAATCACTTCTTGGTGGCATTTCAAAAAGCAAGAGAACCTGCTAGGTCGAAGCTGCCTGAGGTTTGCTATTCCGGTGGCTGACAACAAGGCTGAATCAGAAAAAAAACATAGACACAGCAGGAAAGACTGCATCTCATCCATTCTTGACATTCTCTCATTTTGGATTAAAGATGCAGATTTCCTGCTATGAGCAACAGGAAACAGTGATTACTGGTGAAATTCCTGGATCTGGTGTACAAAATGCATAGCTGAAGACAGGCAAGACTCGCAGGCATGCCAGGTGCCATTACTTCAAGCCCTCTAGACAAAAATAATGTCATTGATCAGTATTTCAAGTGACTGCTGACACACTATTAGAATGGCAGCCCTTGGGCAGTCTTCTTGTCAGAGATAAGCTTAGTATCAAAGAGTAGTCTCTCTGATCCCCAAGAGTGCATTGCTTGAGTTCCAGCAAAGATGCCAGCAACTGCAGCACCACGAGGAGTGAAATAAGCCATGAGCAGTACTCTCCACAACTGAAGGCTGAAGGACACAAGCAGTCATCTCAGCTGAAACTTGAACTGTTGAGTTATAACCTTTGGGTTACCAAACAGAAGACACACAATCATGAACTTCTAAATGATACTTTTTTTAAAACGCACTTATCTGAGGGATAAATTGACATTTAACTTGTGATCCGTTTTTCCAGCTCTTGTTACTGGAGGGGAAATTGTTACTGTCTGCAAGTTCAGCAAACCAAGTAGATGGATAAGCATTCAATCTTTTGAAACCTAGTGATGTTTCAGTGGTTTCAGTTACCCCATCAAACACTTCTGTAAGTCTGATTGCAGGCTGGGGCTGACATTCGCCATGCTCAGCAGGCCTGCAGATGTGCACAGAGATGACTATGGTGATGACAATGCACGGCTGTTGCATCCAGCCCATACTCAGTGAGACAACTCCTCTTCATAAAGCAACTCTTCTCAAGTCATAGAATCATAGAATGATAGAATCATATGGGGTTGGAAGGGACCTCTGGAGATCATCTAGTCCAACGCCTCCTGCCAAAGCAGGACCACCCAGAGCAGGTTGCACAGGAATGTGTCCAGGCAGGTTTGAATGTCTCCAGAGAAGGAGACTCCACCATCTCCCTGGGCAGCCTCTGCCAGGGCTCTACCACTCTCACAGTAAAGAAGTTCCTCCTCATGTTTAGGTGGAAATTCTTATTGTCAAGTTTGTGCCCATTTCCTCTTGTCCTGTCCACGGGCACCACTGAAAAAAGACCGGCCCCATCCTTCTGACACCCACCCTTTAAGTAATTGTATGCATTTATTAGATCCCTCCTAAGTCTTCTCTTCTCAAGACTAAAAAGACCCAAATCCTTCAGCCTCTCCTTGTAAGAGAGATCGCACCACTGAAAAAAGACCGGCCCCATCCTTCTGACACCCACCCTTTAAGTAATTGTATGCATTTATTAGATCCCTCCTAAGTCTTCTCTTCTCAAGACTAAAAAGACCCAAATCCTTCAGCCTCTCCTTGTAAGAGAGATCCCTTGTCATCTTTGTAGCCTCTGCTGTCCCCTCTCCAGCAGTTCCCTCTCCTTCTGGAACTGGGGAGCCCAGAGCTGGACACAGTGCTCCAGATGGGGCCTCCCCAGGGCAGAGCAGAGGGGGAGGATGACCTCCTGGAAGAGGCTCCCACCAGCAGGATGTACTTCACTGTGCAGCAGCTGCAGGATGCCACCTTGGAGCTGTTTTAATGGCTCGCTGCATCTGTGTTCAATAAGACTGATTGCACCAAAGCACCCTTAACTCCATCTCAGCTCAGCAGCTGTGCACTGTCCTCTGAAAAAGGGTAATTCAGGAGTTGTTTACTCAGAGCAGTTATCACATTCACATCAAGAAAAGCATTCCCCCTCCTCTCCCCCCACCATTTTAAGCTGAGCTACTTCTATCCTTCTGGGAACCCATTGCGATGGAATAAACGAGACTGAGCTTTTGCATCCTTCAAGTTTCAGGCAAAACATATTCTTCTTTCCAAGTCTGAAAAAGGGGTGGAGGGCCTATGTTAGCATTGCATTCTCAATACCCCAAGCTGATGTATTGTTAAACAACTAATTTCTTGGTCAAAAAAAAAAAATCATATGCAAGAAATTTCATATTAATCTTTTGGCTACGTTTTCCTACAGATTTTCCTGCAGAGCACAGTGACTGCATTTCTCCAGGGGAAAGTCTGCTTGCTTTTAAATTACCTTCTTGTGTAATAGTTCTTTACTGCCAGGTCTATTAATCTTATATGTTACAAAAGCTTGCTTTTAGAAATTCTTTTCTGCAGGATAAATTTGGAAATTAAAGCATGAACAAAGTGTCTTCGCATTTAGTTTCCAGTGTAAAAAAAAGTGAATGTCACACTGTAGATTTTTGCATCATATGACAATCAGCTTAATTTCTTTCACAACCATCATCTTAATTGCCATATATCATATATGACCCACAAAAGCTCTCTCATCTCTGTACCTGCTTAGGCTGGCTATTCTATTACTTCAGCAAAAATGAATTTTCCTTTCCAACACTGAAAGACTAAATGAGCAAGTACAAAAATCCACAAGCCACAACCTTTGCAACAAAAGGGGCTGTAGGCTTGCAGGAAGAGTTCCTTGTGGAACTTGTGGGAAGAGTTCCTTGTGGTTTTTTCCCCTCACTTAGAGCTTTACCCTTCAAGCTGCAAATCCCTTGGCTCCTGCTCCAGCAAACTACCTAAAACCCTTCACATGGATTATGTATAGCAAGCAAAAAGGTACTCCTGGATCCCAGTAAAAGGTTTTGGCGTATTGCACAATCAAGCCCTCAGAGCCTAACTGAACATGGAGTGACACCAACAGAAACATTCCTTTCCCCCCTGGAGGACAGAAGGTACCACAGTCTATTGTACAAAGATTTTTTTTTATGATTATTTTTTTTCCTTCCCTCTTGAAGTGGCTGTTGTGATTGACTTTATACCAGTCATCCCAACTTCCCCTACTGCTCTCCCTTCCTGAGCACCATCAGCATTGAAACAATCGTTGTGACTGTCACTATTGAACTTTTCTGGCAGTTTCCAGCCACTAGTTGCAAAGAGCTCCCTGTACTGGCTGCACAATGGGACTGGTGAAGACACAGAATTCCATGGTTAACTTAGAACAATCAGGTCCACCATGAGGCACCATCTGAACCCCAAAACTCCTTGTTCTGAAAACAGACAGAAGAAACACTTATTGCACAGGAATTGGTATAGCTGCCATATTCAGAAAGGCAAAGCCCAGGAATTAATACCAGCAATACTTGCACATGCATTACAGTTTAAGAATGTGTTTTGAAGTGCTACTTAATGTTTGGGGCAGATTATCCTACTTGGAAGAAATATTATAAATCCTTGTGACATTTAGACTATCGTGACTATGGAAAAAAAATAATACTCAATTAGACTATGTTCCTTTACTCCATTCAAGGTGGTCAGACTCCCCCAATAATTAAAGACTTATGCTTCCTATGGGCCACTGTGAACTAGTTACTAAGAGAAAAATACAAAAGCCCTATCCTGCCATCTTAACTCGTATTTATTCCAACCACTTTTTCATTATTTGGACAAAGGGGGCAGAGGCAACTTTTACAGCAAGTGACAAAGACAAATTAGAAAACTGTAATTCTAAATAAAATACAATATGCAGAGCTTTTCATTTATAGCTCTCAAACTAGTTTACCAAACAAATATGACAAATGAGGCTTTTAGAAAAAGAAACTCAGTTAAGCAACATGCCCAGAGTTGTGCTGTTCACCAGGAACAGACAGAAACAAAAATTAAGACTATCTGACTAATTCAAATATTTATTTCTCAGTCACTTCCAGGCCTTCATAAGCACACTATACAGTTTTTAGAGCTATACATGAAATAGGATTATGCCCCTGCATTTCTGGCAAGCTGCCTACATGACCCTCAGTTTAACAAAACTTGCCTTGATCTGAAGTGACTGCCCGTACACAGTCCAGTGAGGCATTTTGCATATGCTCATTAATGGCTTTTTTTGTATTCTGTCTTTCCCTCTGAAAACATCCTAAACAACTAACTGTATGCCAAAGAGATTATATATAATTAGATAAGAGATAATTTGGGGACTAAATCAGTTAACTGCAAGAAAAATGGTTTGCATGCTACGTATGCCCCACTAATGAGGTATTTTGCTCTTCATTAACTAAAAGCTATTGAGATTCAATAATGTATAATGCAGGGATCTTAGAAAGAGTACACTGCAGTTTTAAGCACAGCAGTAGCCAGGATGCTTTTGCAAGCTTCTACACCAAAAATCAATGTAATGCTCAAAGTCATTGCTTCTTGCTTCACCATTGTGGCTCTCATAAATACAAGCTCCCCTGGAATTCTCCTTTTGGGGTTTTGGGTTCCTCCTTCTCCTACCAAGAAAAAACATCTGGGTAAGCAACATTTTAAAACTATAAATTGAGCCTCATGTGATTGAATACGGTTGACCTAACTGGCTGAAACCACTGCCAATTTTTTCATATGCCAGGGAGTTCAACCAGCAAAAGACACAATGTTCTTCAACTAAGGACATGGTCATACGTGTTTCATTAGAAAAGGGAGAAGCAATGAAAAAGGACATGTGTTAGGTGGAAAGTAAAACTATTTGAAAGGACAACGGGGATGAAGACCAAGAAGACAATTTCCAAGGAAAAACAGCCAGTAGAATGACAGCAGAAATAGAAACAGAGTGAAAAATACTACTGATTCTGTGTGAATATAGAAAAAAAAGAATAGGAAGAAATTAATATGAAAGCAATACAGTAAAACAATATAACTTGCTTATTTTTGCTTTTCCCAGTGATACAGCTATACCCATGCAAACTTCCAGTTCATGTGCACTGCAAAAGTGAGAAAATTTGCTGGTGGCATCTGAGGTAAAAAAGAGTTGCCTGTCTTTCCCTCACATGAGGATATTATCATAGACTGCAGAAATTCCTACTGCATTGCATGTTCTTCCAGCCTTCCATCTCACATTACTGCGCAGCAGAGTTGAGTTTGTTGCTTCCAAAGCAGAACTGCACCCATTTGTCAAGCAGCCCAGACAGCATTTCTTTGAGACCTACTGTGCAAAACTTCACTACTTAATTCTTCCTACTTCAGACACAAAGGAGAGCAGTCAGGAGATACCTTGGCTGTAGAGATGCCACAAACAGGCATTGTCTCAGAACTAAATAAAAAGGGACATTTTTCACAAAGTAGTATCTCAGAAGAGTGGATAAAGATTTACAGAGCAGAATCTATGTACATTCATATCTCTGCTTTTCAGTAACACCACTAAAGTTTGTGAACACAGCATACAGCTTAAGTCCTATAAAAGAATTAAGACCAAAGTGCCCTCTAGATAAGATGGTCTAACATCTGAGTTTACATACAACTGCACACTGAACAGAAATGTTGTGGGTCTTCAGACCAGGCAGGCACTACATTGCTTCCATCCATTATTTCTAGACTATTGTACCCAAATCCTAATTTTATTTCATTTGCTGTTGCTTGCAGAAAGGAAACCTCTAAACCCTACCACTGTACCATTAAGTGTTGTCATCTACGAGATCAGAAAGCATGAAGGCTGTAGCTCTCTTCATTTGTCTTGTAGGATCAGCTTTTGCTATTCCAGTAAGTCCTCATCAATCTATTATTGCTGGGCACTTAATTTCCCATTCTGTGAATACTCTGTTATCCCGTTGACCTTTACAAGATTTTTTATTTATGGTAAGATATTTAATACATTTGTCTATTTTAGAGTCATCCCTTAAACTACAAACTTGGAATCCATGGACAGAAAACTCCTGAAAAGGTATTCGTCTTGTCCTTTAAACATTAACAGGCAACCTATATTATGCATCTCAAATATATGAAATAAATCAGCACATATCCAGTGACTGGCAAATTGATTTAGTTTTTAAAAAGATAGGCCCCCTCACACCAAGAGTTAGTCCCAAACATATTACATAGCTAGAAACAGAACAGGGCAAAATCTAAAGCTCACAACAGAAGTTTCACTTATTTGAAAAAATGAATCCCCACATATAATCATTACACCCATTTCTTACAAACAATAAGCTCCACTGACAGTTGAACTTGTGGTTAGTGCTGCTCCAGTAAACAAGGAGGATGTAATCCTCAATTTATCCCACCAAATGATCATATGCAGTCTCACACACGTAAGAATTTTAGCCACCATATGTTTCACTATTCACAATTCAGAGCATCAGCTACAGCTCATCTTGGGGAAGTGCACTGTGGCTGACAAGCCAGATACACAGCTCCGATGGTAACGAGACAGATGTCTTCAGCAGCCTTATGCCATATAAGCACACTAATGACAGAGCTCACAATTTTGCATTCATGGTTGATCCAAATTAAAATTTCTTTTTATTGCACTATTCTGGAGAGAATTTGTGATTCAGACAGAACAGACCTTGGCTCCAAGCCAATTAATATTTCGAAACAACTAAATTCAGAGCATGCTCATAGTAAGAAATAAAAAATCCCAACTCTTGTGCTAACCTTTTTTTTTTTAAAATTATGAATTATATCCCACTCTGTGCAACTGTCCAGACACATTTCACATCAATCCAGATGGTGACCTGCATTACGAAAATAAAAAAATTAACTTTTCCTAATGAAATAGCCAGCAGAACAAAATAGGGTATAAACACTATTTTGCAGCCTACAGCTGTCTCCCAGAGACAGCTCATACACAAAACACTTGAATCAAAATAAAACATTGCAATACCTGAGAAATCATCAGTTCCAAGTGAATGGGCAACATCTATCAAAGGCCAGTTGGCCCCTAACAGTAGCTAATTACAGCTACATTGACTGAAATTTGCCATCATGTTAAGAGACCCAAGTATCTCCATAAGCAACTGAGTTCTAAAAGTTCATTTTATCCTGGCAACAAAGGTATAACAAAATGCAGAAGGTAAAAACCACATCCATGCAAATCTCTGCATTGAGGTTGTGGCACATAATGAGACTTCCTGTAAGACATGAGCCCCATCTTTCTCAAACTATTGCTTCAAATACAGGCACCCATAATAGACAACCTTAGTGAATGTTTGGCCTTGTATTTTCTAACTCTATAGAACTGGAAGCCCTTCACAGAAGACTGCTTTTTGCTTAAACTTCAGGACATACAGCAGCACCCAAAAACATATGTAAAAAAACCCCTGTTCCTGAAACTTAATTTTCAAATGTTTTAGTATCAGCTTGAGATGCTGGGTAACACACAGATCACTTTTTATAATGTATTCAAGAAATGTACATTTATACTGGAAAAGCTCTTCACTGAACTTCTGTTAGATTTGAGCAAACACACAATCTTATGACATAATGAATGTATTGCCTAGTACCTTTCCTGCATCAGTAAGTACCCCAGGCAAAAGAAAAGTTGTAAAACATTCCGATACCACCTTGACATTAGCAAATACGATATAGCAGATCTGCCAAAATCCATATTAATATATGTAATCCTACCAGGTTCTTTTTAATTTGTTTATTAGTTTTTAATTTGGAATTTGGTTAATGTAGTGTTTGTTTCCAAGCAGTCATGACTGCCCACACTAAAGCAAATGCTATTTCAGCAACTTGGGCACTGAGAAGGTGTCATCTTCATAAATTAAGCCCCCACAAGCTTTAAGGAAAATCAGCATCAGGTGCTATATTGTAGTAAGTAATAAGCAACACTGAACATCCATAGGTGTTGTTCAGAAATGTTGCTGCTGTTGGAAGTGTCTATACTCGCCCAGCAGATGCTGTGATGCTAACAGCAGCAGAAAAGCAATTGCTGCAGCAAGAGCTAATAGTCATTTTAGTACCTGCTTTTTACTCAAGCATTGGAATCTCTTCCACTGAAGTTACTAGTTTTGCTGTTGGCTTGAGAGCCTGCCACCACACCTCTTCCCGGGCAGGACCTCCACCAGCTTTCCATCCCTCGCTGCCAGGCCATCAGCTGCTGCCATCAGCTGCTTTATGAGGGTCCTGCTTCTCTTTCCAGGCAACAGGAAAACTTCTAGAGTAAAGCTAAAAAACTTCTAGAGTAAAGCTAAAACCTATAAATCCATCATTTGCCTTTCTTACTTGCTCTGTCAGATAGTTCAGTCTACCCAGCACTCAACTCCTACTGTCAGGAAGGATTCACCTTTAAGACTATCACAAAACGGGTCCCAGGACTATCCTTGAAGTTTATACTGTTATTATGGGTGATGTACATGAGTTACTTTAAACAGGGCTTCAAAATTTGACAGGGAAGAAAAAGTGTGCATATATCCAGGAAAAAGCAGGCTGCCTTGGAAAGCTGGAAAAACTCAGATACTCTTTTATTTATTCTTCATAAATCCTTCTGATTAAGTAGAAAGCAAAAAAAAAAAAAAAAAAGCCTCTCAGCAAACACCTATGATTCCTGCTAATGAGCTCATGATATAGTAGTTGCCACCAAATTCAGTAGTTCCTCATAAATTCAGTTAGGAAGCAATGATGTATCAAACTCAAAGTAGATGACCATGTTGTCGATGAAATAGTTAAGAAGCAGTGCACTCCTCAGGAATTACTACCATGACACCATGCGAAAGATGCTGTCTCTCCCCCTGCCCCTCTTTTCCCAGGCCCCTCATTTATCTGTGTAGGAAGATTAATATCACATCCCCCTTCTCTGAGGTAAGCGATCATTACTGCAGAATACAAGTGCCTGAAGTTGACATCAAATTACTAATTAAGCATTTTAAGATTTCACAGGACACCCGTATGCATCTATCTCCTATAAGATCTTAAACTGAGCTGCACAGACTTCTTCAGAAACTGCAGCAATAAAAGAAAGGACAGATCAACAAATTGCTGAGAAACGGAAATGACATTTGCATTTGACATTTGCTAAGAAATGGAAATTGCTGTGAATTCCATGCTCTAGGCTAGCTTAAGAGGAACGTTTACAAAGAAAACAAAGTCAGTGTCATGCCTTGCGATACAAGGTAAAAATAACATTGCATTAACTTCACATAAATTCTATGATTTATTAATCTCCTTGCTAATCTTTAACTTTTGTTAAGACTGAAGACATCCACCCTGGAGCCCCAAAGGAAGAGAATGCAGGATATGTAGACAATGGTGATTTGCTGGTCAGCCACAAAAACCTAAAACCAGAGTTATCAGTACCAGGCGCTGAACGCGGTGGTGAGCCTCAGACCACCAGAAAACAAGGAAGAACTGGTAGCGAGCATCAAGTGAAAAATAGCCTAAAAAGCATCAATTTCCTTGTGCTGCACCATAAACCAGCTTTGGCTTCTGATAATCAGGACAGTGACTCTGCAAGCAGTGGCAGAGAACAGCCTAGCTCTGAGCGTTACCAGTTCAGGAGGCATGAGAAACACAGCAGTACGGTCAATCAACATGTTCTGGGCAATGCAGAAAATCCAGCAAATGTTCTCAGTCTTTATCATGAGCATAACACATGGAAGTATAATAAAAACACAATTGGCCTATCTGAAAAAAACAGTGAAAGTGAAGAAGGAGGTGTGGAAGAAGAGGATGAGGAATGGGGTAAAGAAACTGATTACAGAGAGACGAAGCACAAAGGCCAGCAGACAAATCAAGGTAACCAATACAAAAGGCAGCAAAATGAAAACAATATGCAGTCTGATGAAATCCTGAGAGATTCCAGTCAACCAATGCGGATAACCAAGAGACACGGTGAAAAATTTAAGCTAGAAGAAGAGAGGGAAGACAGCCAGAAGAAGCCATATAAAGAAAAAATCCCCCTCTCTGTAAAAACTCATAACGAAGATCAGGATGACAAGCAGCAAAGCCAAGAGAGGAAAGCCAATATTCAAGTAAACTATCAGAGTGATCATGACACAGTGGTGAAAACACAAGATACAGAGGACAGTATAGTTGATAATGATGGTCATGACAGTGGTGATGTTGATGAAGACCTCAGGAATACTTGGAAAGAAGCAGCCTATGAGGAAGAGGAGAGAATCCAGAGTAATGACCAGGAGAGCACCAGTACTGAGCAGAAAGAGGAAGGAACCACCAAAGATGACACTGCAGTTCATAGAGAGGCCGAGGATTACCAAGCTGTCAAGATTAAAGACCTTATTCACTCTGAACAAGATGATGACTCTCATGAACCACCTAATTCTGACAGTGAGCAACAACTGGAAACAAGTAGCTCTGTTCAGAGCATGAATTCAATGGAAAGTGAAGATAAGGTAAATTCTCTTTAAAACAAAGTTGAAATATTAGAGAAAGGGCAGAGGGAGGGGGGTGGAGAATCAGTCCCAAATTTAAATTCCTGATGATTAAAAGAACATTTTGGAGAAAAAGAGATGTAATACAGTCTGCAGAAGTCTCATCTCCCCTTCTATTCACTATTCATCTGGCTTATGTTGTGTCACTTCACACACAACATTTAGATGAATTGTATAGAAAGGAAGTGAGCACAACTCATGTAAGAGCTCCAGCCCTGACGGGACATGTAATGAAACATACAAATCAATATGAATACACAGACACAAAACCTGGAACCCAGTCTCTCAAGCTAACTAGGAAAACCTGTTCACTCCTTTCTCTCCCAAGTATTTTAAACACTGCCATACAAAAGCAAACAGCTTGGAAAGGCATGACTAGAGTCTCTGGAATAATTACATCCTAGTGGCCAGGGCACTCTTACACAAGATGAAGGATGTGCGTTTTGTCCCTTGAGACAAAGGAGGATGTTGCACCCAAATCTCCTGTATGCTGGTCAGCAGTTAGATAAGGGTGCTTTTCAAAAGAAAAGAGTGAGTTTTCCTATGGCTATTAAATAAGGATCTGTACATTAAAAAAAAAGTCAGGAGGCATCCATTTGAAAGAGATACTGCTCTACGTCAAGCACTGCAGAACCTCCAGGTGCTCAGGCTTTACTAAGCTCCTATTTTGCTCTCTCCATCTCCTACTTATTTTTTTTTCCTCAGACTACCAGAGGCTTTATGCACTTTTTCCTGCATCTTTTCTGCTGCACACGCAGCAAACTGCGCCTCAGTCAGCTCTATAATTGTACCTGATAAAATTTTGTCCAAGTATTTTTGTCTTCCCAAGATTTACCACAACTTCTGCTTGTGTCTCTGTGACCGCACAGGTTAAAACTACAGGCAGTTCCTATGGTGAGATGGAAAATGCAAGCAATAAGAGTGAGAAGGCTCTTCTGGGTAAGCCACAAGTAAAGCCATCATGTAACTGCTAACTCTTTGCTGCTGAGGAATCTGCTGGTCTGCATTTCTTTCCTGCTTTTGGTAGCATGCAATTTCACATGACTGAACTTGTGCTGTGCTTGTGCATAATCCTGCATCAGAGTTATGTTCCCATAGAATCCCCTCCATACACCCTTTTCCACCCATTTGCTTGTGAAAAACTCACTCCACAGAGAGTGCACAATTTTTTGTGTCAGTTATAGAGGAATGAGGATTACCTTGCATTGAAATTGTTCAGTCTCAGAACAGTAGTTTGAATCCAACTAGGAATGGGAAAAGTGCCAGCGCTGGAGAGATGGAACATGTTTCACCAAAGGAAGTGGGAAGTAAATGTCAGTCCTTAACAGCAGTAATAGCTTTTTCTGAGAAATTTATTTCCCCAACCAACTCAAACCTAGGACTGCTAGAAGTCTCACAAAATTCCTCATTTAAAGTTTGGCTTGCTTTATTCAGCTGCATCTTAACAAACTTAGAAAAAACATTTGACTTGAAGGTTAATATTTGGCTGTATTTTGCTTTGACCATCAGTAGCACCTGTAAAAAAACACTTGGCTTCATCCTATCCCTCCTCCTTGCTACGATCGCTAACAAGCAATCTTGCTATGACTGGTAACAATCCCTCCTTCTTGCTATGATCACTAGACGCGTGCAGGAACTTCCACTGCAAAAGAGGTAAAGTCTGCCACGTGGACAAACAAGGGAAACCCAGCTGTATTTGCCAAGATCCTGTTGCTTGCCCTTCCACCAAAGATTACGAGCACGTAAGTATTGAATTCAGTGCATGGCATGGGGGAAAGCCACCTAAATGTTTACAAGATAACACATTCCCCTGCTATTATTTAGAATAATTCTACCATAAAACATAGTGGGTTTGGGTGATTCCACTAATTGTAACACTAGGTATAAAGCACCCACAGTCACTGAGCTTGAGAATAATATGAACATGTGTTTTGCTTCACTTAGCCCCTCAGGGATTATAGCTTTTTCCTGTCACTAAAAGTTCCATTTCTCCCTTTGATGTTTTAGAGCATATACTGAATACTGGTACATGTCTAGTGTAATACTACAGTACCATCTCATAAACTATCTTACTTCCACACAAAAATAAATTGAAGTATCTCGAAACTGAGTGTGTAAGTACAGAGAACTAATCCTTATATAAGCATAGAACAGCTACAATTTTCAATACTTCTGATAACATGTATTCCCTGTGGGTGTTCCATATGTTAACGATATTTTATTATTGTAATGCCTATTTGAGTGACCAGAATTTTTCTCAACACGGTGGTGGTGGTGGGGTTTGTTTTTCACTCCTCTTCTAGGTTTGTGGCACAGATAATAAGACTTATGAAGGCATATGTCAACTCTTTGGCACCAAATGTCAACTTGAAGGGACAAAAATGGGACGCCATCTGCACCTAGACTATATGGGCTCCTGCAAATGTAAGGGTTGTTTTTCTATGAAGAATTCACCTAGGTACAAAGAGCCAGTAGCCATAACCACCAGCTAGCCCCAAATTATCCCCTTCTGCATCAATTATCTGCTAATTAAGACCTTCAAATTCTAAGCATGTCTAAGGAGATGCTTTTTCTATAATTAAGGGTATTAAGCATCTGAATCCTAAAGACATTCCTCCTGCGCTTACCCCAATTTGTTGTCAACCCCATCTTCCACCTGCACTGTCTTACATGGTTCCATTGCTATAGCATCTGAACATGTTTTTTTAATACCTTGACCAGAAAACCAGTTTTTACAACTAGTTAATAAATGAAAATGTCAAGTCCAAAAAAAACCCCTAAAAACCAAACACCCAAAAGCCTACTTAGATACTAAATGCAGAAGTCAGGATCTAAAACCTAGAACTGATTTCCAGGCTCTTCAATTGCTGCATACCCTGACAGGAACATGCGCTCTCAGCCAGACTATTCCATTGCTGTTGAGAGCTCTGCTTTCATGCAACTGACTGCTAACAGTTTCACTGCACAATTCTGCTTAGAAGCTGCACAGATATATAAAGGCTATATGCCCAACTGTTTAAACAAGTGCACCAAAGAAGTATAGATTTGGAATTGCATCCATTAGTTGCATTCCCAATTTTATGTATTAACAGCTCCATCAATTTTAAGCTTAGCTGGAAGTTTGTTAGTGAGAATCAAATCTAACTTGGCTCAGAAATGCTTGAATGGGGACTTACCAGATCAGTGTTAACAAAAGCTTTCCTGTTTGGCACAGACATCCCCCACTGTACTGATTATGAAGTGGATCAGTTCCCCCTCCGGATGCGAGACTGGCTCAAAAATATCCTTATGCAATATTACGAACGTGATCTGGATACTTCTGGATTCCTAACTGAAAAGCAAAGGAGCAAGGTCAGCAATCCATTTCAAATCAGACCATGCAGTTACATTGTTAGAGCCAGACTAACCGTGTGGGGAAAAAAAAAAAAGTTATTCACATTTTATGATTTCTCCTATTTCCTATGAGCATTCCCTTTCTGGTTAAAGCAATTTAGATTCAATTAGATTCACAAGGTGCACATCCTTCACTTGCACATCCTCTCACACTCATTTAAGCTGCGGCACATTTCTGCTATGAATGCTGCTTTTGTCCAAGCAAACACAAGCCAAGTGTATTACTTTGAAGTCAGTGTCTGCAGACAAGAGGTAGAAAAGTCAGAATTAGTGTACACCTCGATAAACGTTGTTCACATGAGAAGACAGGAAACAGCTTCTGCTCAGGAAGTGCTTTGTGGCAAACCTCTTGGAAAGACCAATGAATACGTTGATATGGATGACCCCATTCATGGGGAAATGCTATTTTCCAAAGGACTTGAGGAAACTAAGCAGCCATAAGTTGGAAGGTCTGGGTAGAAATAACTAATTAAAAGAAAGAATAAGAGGGAAGAGCCAGCCAAGAGCTCATTCATCTCTGGAGTCCCACAAGTTGAAAGTACTTGTGCTTTCGTTACATGACCTGTAAGAGGAAGGTGAGTGACACAGTCTGCTGACAAAGCACAGGCATGCAAAGGAAGGAAGAATGGACTTGGGCTCACATGAAAAGAACTCCTCAAGAACCTCATGGGACTGAGTGACTGTAATTCAAGACAGAATTACAATATGCTCATGGGGGCAGGGGACGCCTACCTTGGACCAACCAAAAGTAGTTCCTCTTCTGTTCTTGAGACTCACCTTGTACTTGACCATCAACACAAAAGTACCTGAAAATGGACTCAACATTTAAGAGTATAATTTGCACATTTTAGTCCAGGCCATACACTGTCCATCTACACTGTGATATTCAAAGGCTAAAAAGATTGCTTTCTACCATCTAGTAGACCTGCAGCATGACACTACGTTGACTTAAAATGGAGTAAGCATCTATTATCACTGGGCCTTTTTTGTTTTGGTTTGGTTTGGGTTTTTTCTGAGCAGGATTTATATCAGGTGAATTGGTGATGGTAGGTATGGTTTTGAAGATATAGATGCCATAACTGCCTGCCGTGGTTTAGCCCCAGCCAGCAAGAAAGAACCACGTGGTCTTTTTGCTCACCCACCCCCACCCCCGGCTGGAGTGAGAGGAAAATTGGAAGAAAAAGGAAAAACTTGTGGGCTGAGATAAAGGCAGTTTAACAGAACAGTGAAGGAAAGAGGAAAACAATAATACTGATAAAGGTATATACAAAACACAATTAATGTACCACCAGTCTCTGACCAGACCCAGGAAGTCCCCAGCCCGCTTGGAGAGGTGATTCCTGTCCCCTGCCCAGCCAGGTCCCAGCTATAGACTGGGCATAGCGTCACCTGGGTTTGCGTCAGCTGATCTCCCCCATCCCCTGCTCTAAGAAGCCATAACTGTTAAAAAATAGTTTAAGTTAAACCAAGTCCTGGGCTGCTCTAACTCTGGAGTAGAAGCTGCATGCAGTAGATCACAGCAGGTTTATACAAAATACACTTGAGCAACACCAAAGGCTACTTACACAGTGACCAAGAGAGACACTGAGCTCAATGGCACAGAACGTCTCATGCTAAATGGTACAAATTAGATGATTTCTAAGATGGCTCATTTCACACCAAAAGTCGAGTTGCTTGCCTCAGGATAGAAGATCAAAAAATGTGATAAAACAGTCTGACGATTAGGCCATGGGAATTTCACTTCCTTTTTAGTTACTACCATGGTCGACATAGACAGCAACAAATATCATCTGGACTGCTTGAGGCAAGTTGTTCATATTGCGTATGGTCACAAACACTAAAATCCATTTCCCCTGTGGTATTTTATCAAGTTTCATTTCTCCAAACCACCTCCTTGCTGGGTAGTTCTCTTCAGGACAGATCATCATCCCTGAAGTAGTAGTAACAATTTCTCTGCTGTGTTCAGGTGAAAAAAATCTACCAGAATGACAAGCGCCTTGTGGCTGGCGACCACACAGCTGAGCTGCTCCTGCACGACTTTGAGAAAAATTACCATATGTATGTGTATCCTGTGCACTGGCAGTTTCATCAGCTTGATCAGCACCCCGTCGATAGGTAAAAAAAATTAAAAATAAATCTTTGTAGGTTCTCTTTCATGTTTAAGCTCAGGCTGTTTTACTTTTCTAAACCAGTCAAAGGATTCTTTACATACAGACTCAGTCTCTCAGCTGACAAAAACCAGTATTCCCCTCTTTCTAAGGAACCGTTAATCTCTAACACAGAACTTCTCTCATGGTTTTGCTGGAGCCATGTCTTAGATCATAACCTGCAATCCTCTTGCCTTTGATAGCCATCACGTATAGACACATTAAGCTCTACAGTGACTTAATAGCTACTGATGCCCTGATCCTGGAAAGAAACAAGGCTTATGAAACCCTCTTATCACTGAAGCTAAGAGCAACAGGCCAAGTACGAAGGGTAGAGGCCTGTCAGCAGTAATTCCCTAGTGAGATACCCATAGTTTTCAACTAATACTCCAGAAGTCTCTCAGTTTAAGGCCCAGATACGGTAAGACAGCACCTGTGTCACAGTTCAGAGGAAGCCCCCTGCTTCTGAGAATGTGATTCAGAGTTCAGGCTTTTGGTCATGACTCTTGCTGGTGGGATCCATATTTCAAGGCTGCAGGCCCTCAATACCTTGTGCTGATCACACCTACTGTCTTAGAACATAGCCAAGCACCTTTGCAAGCTTGATCTCCTGAAGATTAACAGCAAAACTCCACAACTGATGAGTTGTGAACAAGTTGCAGCAATACCTGTTTTAGGGGGAAAAAAATAATTAACAAACAAATAGCAGTTAAAACATTTTAGTTTATCGGTATCATCGTAACAAGCTGGGACAGATTCCCTGTAGAAGCACCACAACAGAATACACCAGGGCATCTCTGTTAAAGCCATTGTTGTCATCTTCTAGCAGCTTAGATAATCTTTGATGATCCTGATGATTTATTAATTAAATACAGCTCTACATACCCACTCTTTCTTTCAGATTATTAACACACTCAGAGCTTGCACCTTTGAGAGCCTCCCTCGTTCCCATGGAACACTGCATAACCCGCTTCTTCCAGGAGTGTGATGGAGATCAAGATAAATTCATTGCTTTGAAAGAGTGGTGCCACTGCTTTGGGATTAAGGAAGGTAAACATAAAAGAACAGGCAGATGCACAGGACAGAACGTTCCTATCAAGACTAGGCACATTCTCAGATCACAACGTACAGGAAAGAAATGTAGCCAGAAGCTCATGGCTGTTCTGCACAGAGGCAAATGGAACAGTAACAACAAGACTGCAAAAGGTGCAATTGTGCTCGTTCTGAATTGTTTTATAAAGACAGGAGAAACTCATCTTTTCCACTAGGAAAAATTTGGGAGGTAGTTTGTACTAAATATCAAATCATTCCCATGTGGTGTCTGAACCTCTATGTTCTGCTTGTCTGTCTCTCAAGAAACACTCTATTTTATCCTTCTATGCCAAAGGAAAGGCAAAGTGAGCTTGTACTTCTAAATTAGTTGTCAAAGCATATTGATTGAAAATGCATTTAAAGATCTCAAGCCAAGTAGGAAAAACAACCGAGATCTTTCACTGCTAAGTAACTATGCTCACCTCTAGGTTACTGTATGGAACACACACTGTCATCACACTGTACTTGCACACCAAACCATCTATTTTACCTACCCTGTCAGATGCAACAGGTGCTCAGTGCCCACCAGACTACACACATCAGGAGGCTTAGGCAGAGGCAGAGACAGTTTCCAAATCTTAAATAGGCTAGGTATATGTTTGGTTCAGCTCAATTCACACCAAGGTTTCTCTATGAAAGTGAAAAGCTAGGTATTACAGTGCTGGAGACATCTCTAGAATTAGGTAGCGGCTGAACAGAAGTTGTCATGATAGCAATTTCAGATTTGCACGACTACATTCAACCTAAGGCATTCTTTTGCAATCTGCCTTCTTCTGATCTAGCCCCAGTACTGCCAGTCATTAAGCAAGGGTAGCAGTAGCACACGTTAATCCTAGGCATTTGGCTAAACATGTGTGTTGAAGAAATGTGTTCAAAATCCTACTAAGAACTTCCTAATTTTAAGTGGAGACTGATTCTGGTTAGAGGTCAGACATGCAGAGCCTTCACTCTTCCCAGAATTTTTCCAGCTCTTCTGATGACAACTTACCAGTCACAAACCACGTGTGGAAGTAAACTGCAGGGAGTTATAATACACATGTATTGCTGCCAAAAATTATTCATCCAAAGAGGGGTTTATAGGGTCAGTCGTTTGTGAAGAGGGGACTGGAAGGGATTCTTGGCTCACAGACAGATCAAGGAGACCTAACACTAGAAACAAGAAAGCTCCTACATAAAAGAAGGGTCTAAATTAATGGCTCCTGAATATGATAGCAGCAACCATACTTGTTTTTTGTTAGGGATACATGAGCCTTCTGAAACTTTAGTGTATCACTTTCTTGATAGTGACACAGCATAAAAATATCTCTTTGGCATCAAATGTTAACATTTTCTTCTTTTTTGTTGCAGAAGACATAAATGAAAACTTCCTGTTCTAATCTTGGCTGAACAGAATCCCAGTGCTGCACTTAAACTGGTGAAATATGCGAATCCTGTTTATTTCTGAAACTAACAACTTCAAGGTGGCATATGGTTCACTGCATTCTTATCAAATAACACAAGTGCAGAAAAATTCTATATTCATTAACAGCAGAAAAAAATTAACTACTTCAAGTGATTCATAGCTAAACAACCAGTGTTTTCCCCTCATGTATCATTGATCGCTCTGAACCAATAAGTAGTACTAACCTGATGAATGAGCTGTTCACAAAACTCTTCATTAGAATTATAGGATGTGGATTTTACCATATACTGAAAAAATAACCTTGAAATAGGACTTGTTTCCTTTATTTACTTTATTGTCCGTTTAACATTTTGCATAGAAGCCTCAAATAAAATAAAAGTCTGCCTAGATATTGGTTTTGTCAGAAGTTTGTCAAAGAAAAGGTATCAAGGCAATGGTTCAATGAAAATTTCATTTTAGATTTAAGGGAGGAGAAAAAACTAGAGTGTAGATCATATACACCAGTCCTTAACCATAACTCATAAAATACATGAAAAAAAAAAAAAAAAAACAGCACTTTTCTGATAATTCCTGCACCTACCTTGACCCGGTCAGGTGCAATGATATTGCTCCTCCTAAAGTTATCCTGCATTTCCTTGGTGACAGCAAACGGCTCTTTCTCACTTCTCACAACCCCCAATAACCCACAGGCGGTGATACCAATAACCCACTGCTCTTTTCTCATTCTTTTCCCTCGGAAGTCACCATAACTCATAAAAAACAGTAAAAAAAAAAAAAAAAAATCAGCACTTTTCTGATAATTCCTGCACCTCTGGAAATGCAATAAATAGAAGTACCAATGCCACACAGCAGAATTCCTGCTGACAAACTGCATAATGACATGATTGTATGAGCGTGGTGAGTGTGGATGCATGTCAACAGACACTGATTAGCAACAGGTCCACCATCACAAGGAGCAGAGGACAGCAGAGCTCCAACACCTCCTTATTCTCCTAAGCAGGCACATTCTTCCTTCCTCCCACAGAAGTACCAACTACTGCTACCATTTTTCCTAAGAAAGAAATGCTAATTATTTCTTTCATCATCTCCCAAGTTCTCCTTACCTGAAGGCAGGCAGGCACAATTTAGGCATAAAAAACCAGGACAGATTATTCCTGAATCCCATACTCCAGGCATGCTCTGCTGTAAGCAAGAAGCCCAAAATGGACAAAGGAAGGTCAGAAAACACTTTTCACCTGAACCACGTCACCTTTCCAATGACAAGAAAATGGGATTCAGAAATGCTGATTTGATAGCTCAAATAGTGAAAGTCCACTTGCCCCTCATTAATTTTCTCTTGAACCAGCAAAGGCTGCTAATCTGAGTCCAACTCCAGCATTATGCCCCGGGAGACAATGAATCAAGATATGATTATTTTCATCACAGGCACTTCTTACACAAACAGAAGATTATTTCCCACCAAAACCAGTTGCACCGACAGCTTCTCCCATAAGCCTGACTTGTTGCCCACTTCACACTGTGTGACATCACACAGCAGTGTATATAAATCAATCTGGATTGCATGTACAAAAGCATATTCTTTGTGCTAATTCCATTTGAAAAAGATCCTTTCTCTGGGACTTCAAATGTCTCAGGGAAGAAGTAATTTTGACAGCATTTTTTCTGCCTGACTGCAGCCTATTGCTTATTTGCTCTTTCTACAGCCAAGGGTCATCCATCTTGAAACAATCAAATATAGTTCACACAAAGACAACTCACAAGGGATTGACATGTTCTCCATGGAGGCTAACACTCACCATTGCTCCACTCAATGCAAGTCCTAGAAAAAGATACAATGAAATTGAATTGATCAAGGCAAACAGGGAAGATTTTCCTTTAAACAGTCCTAGGGCAAACAACAACCACCACCACGACAATTACAACCATGGGCATATAAAGAACCTAACATATTAAGGAGCAGATCAGCATCCCACCTCTTTTGAAATTCTCAGTGATGCTGACACTTCCAATTTTCCACTGCAAGACACAGAAAAGGAGCATTTGCTAACATATGCATGGATAGATGCTACAGTCACAGGACTAGACAAAATTTCACCTGAGCTCTTGCAGTCCACAAAGAGGCAAGCACCACCAATATTTAAGCTACAAATTATAAGAACAGTAAGAGTAAGGATAAATGAAAGCTAGTTTCCTCATCGGTACTTTAACTATATTGTTACTATTGTAGCTTAACTTACAAATATTGTAATCTTTATTATTTCTTCATTTTGTGAAGCAGAGAAAAATAAAGATAGTGGTACTTTCATTGGCCTTCTGTAGACTTGATTATTTCCATTTAGTTTTAAGAAACCTAAATTAAACATCTTACCTCTTTTCACTGACTTGACCATCTGAATCTGCTTTCCAAAGGAGATCAAACTCCTTATCAGTGTTGGACTGAAACCAAATGTGTTTGCATTATGTTTAATTTTCAGTCCTCCTGCATGGCCACATGGAAGACTACAAAAAGAAGGAAATAGAGGTCACCCTCGCTTGTCGGTTCTGGGTCAACAGCCCACACCAACAGGCGTGGGGTTACAATTCTACACTTTGTGGCAGAACACTGATGACCTTTGCATGAATGCTTCCCCAAAAAACATCCTTACACTATGAACTCTGTAGAACTGCATGTACATTATAGGAATAAAAAACAATTAGCATTTCAGCACATTTCTCAAGTGTAACTGAAGAATATTTTAAATTCTCTCTCATTTTGGGTTTTGAGTTTTTTGGGGGTGTTTTGTTTTGTTTTACAGTTGCTATAAATAGTTATTTTCATTGAGGATGAGGACAATCTTTCCAACTAGTCAACAACTACCTGGGCAAACACAAACATGGCAGGGTAGAAAATCCTATAAAAAGCATGTTTTCTCATTTCATCTCTTCCATGCCTGTGCTTTATGACCAATATCTACTCTGTTGCCTCTACAACAGGCAAACAGGATGCTTTGTAACAAATTTACAGTTCACCTTGCATCCTTATTAAGTTGCAAGTGCATGCATGATCCAAAAAGTACGTATTATGCTTTATGCCCTCAGACATGTCCCCAGAAAAGAATCACAGAATCTTCTAGGTTGGAAGGGACCTTAAAGATCATCTTGTCCAACCAAGCATGGAGAGGGACTGTTGATGTCAGTGGTCTCCAACAGATCTAACTTAACACCAACTTCCGAATTGCATCCTCCCCAGACACATCTAATAATTTAAATTTCTTATTTACCAGTTCAGACTTTTCTATTAAACTAATCACCAAACAAAAGGACCAAGCAAACATCTGTTATGGTTTGAGAAAACTTATAACAATTTATTGTTGTTTAGACAGTTATTCTTTCACCTGATGACTCCTCCCCATCCAAGAAGGAGAATCAGAGAACACAAAGAAACACAGAGGTTGAAATATAAATAGATTTAATAGACTAAGACTAAATAATTAACAATAATACTAAATAACCAGTATTAATCCCGATACTGATATAAGATTTAGAAGGATTATACTCAGGCAATTCTACCAGCAGGAGTCAAGCACTCCCCACAGGGACAGCCAGTGTGGGACCCTGCGAGCGCTGTGGCTTCAGAAGGAAGGGAAGGCCTCAGGGCTCTGGCACCAGGACAAGGAGTTGTCTGGACCCACCACCATCACGGAAGAGAGAGAGCTATGCAGCAAACTTTTCTAATTTATATTGAATGTGAAGTTCATGGTGTGAAATAATCCTGTCTGGGTTGACATGGGTTGCAGTCTGGGTCAAATGCCCAGGCCTTGCTCCTCCTTGTCCCTGCTCGAAAACACTGAGACCTTGAGTCCCACAGAGCCTGGCTGGCTATACGGTAAATATCTTCATGAATTCAGACACTAGAGTCTTCAAAAAGTGCGGTTTTCCCCAGCATTAGAAGAAAAGTTAGTCCTGTGTCGCTCAACCCAGGACAACACCATAAATGAAAACTTACTTAGAGACTTGTCTTTCGATAGCTTTTTGCTTAATCTGCATATAGTCAGATGGCAGAACAACACAGCTCTCAGACTGCAAGTATGCTGCTGGTAAACAGCCAGCCTCAAAAGGCAGCACTGACTTTAATTCACAACTTCCCATTTCTTCAGGAAAAGGAAAAAGGAGGTAATTTTTGAATTTTTAACACTCCCTCTCAGTTAGCAGTTTCAATACTACAGGCATTTTCACCCAAGTATTCCTCCAGCACCACTAAAGTGCAGAAAGCTAGTCAGAATACCTATATTTTAAAAAAATACACAACAAACATTCCTTTTATAACACACACACACTTCCATTGTCAAACCCATCAATCCTCCAAGGATTAGTAGGGGTCATATAAAAAAAAAAAACACCACCCAAATGGCTTCTTTATCAGCTGATAAGTAAACTAAACATCCAAAAGGTCTTAAGAAGGTGTGATTCATGACGTCTTGTGGTTTTCCTGTGTCCTGCCTCTGCCAGCTCACGCAGCCACAGGACTCAGAGCTGTATATATAGACACCAGCCACACACACAACACCATCACTGGAGCCAGCTGACTTCACCTGATCCACCAACGAGGCGTTCACCATGCAATCTAAAGGTAAAACAGATGCTTTAATATTACCTGGACTAAATTTCATAACAAAAATAATTTGGGGTATGACTGTGAATGGGAAGGAAGAAACTTTCTTCCATGGTAAGAGTGCTCAAGCACTGGCATAGGTTGCCCAGAGAGGTTGTGGATTCTCCATCCTGGGAAATGCTCAAAACCTGGCTGAACAGTCCTGGACAACAGTCC